TCCCTCCCTGCCTCCCTCCCTCCCTCCCTCCCTCCTTCCTTCCTTCCTTCCTTCCTTCCTTTCTTTCTCTCTCTTTCTTTCCTTTCCTTTCTTCTTTCTTTCTTTTCTTGCTTGCTTGTCTTCTTGCTTACTTTCTTTCTCTTTTCTTTTTTTCATGGTGACTGTCGCTCTATCGCTTTAAGCACATGTCCAATCTGGGATTTTGAAGATGGAGTCTCATGGACTTTTCTTCTTGGGCTGTCTTTGAAACAAGGTCCTCTGAACTCAGCCTCTTGAGGAGCTAGGATTGCAGATGTGAGCCACTGTTACCCTGTGCTGCAAGCACTTTTTGGATAACTAATTTTGTTTATCAGTTTATCTTTTGGTTAATTAAAATGGGAAATAGCAGAGTCATATATTTAGGGACAGTTACAGTTAAAATAACTGCATAGCAATGAAAAGTTCTGTTTTCCCATGCCTTTTTTTTTTTTCTGTCGGTTGTGGAGCTTGAACTCAGGGCCTGGGCACTGTCCCTGAGCTTCATTGTGCTCAACACTAGTGTTCTACCACTTGAGTCACAGTGCCACTTCAGGTTTTGGAATTGTTAATTGGAAATAAGAATCTCACAGGGACTTTTCTGCTATGGTTGGCTATGAACCTGGATACTCAGATCTCAGCCTCCTGAGTAGCTAGGATTATAGGCAGGAACCAGTGGTGCCCAGTTTCCCATATACCTTTTTAATGACAATTGTAAAACCTGTTTGATTTTCTTCTGTTTATTTGGTAGCTTGTTGAACGGTTTGACCTGTTATTCATTCAGCAAGATCTTTTTTTATTGAAAAGTAATTTTCAACATATCTACCATAAAGTTCTAAGTACTTCTGAGAAATTTTGTTGTCCAAAAGCATTTTTAGTATAGTATATTATTACTTTTAGCAGTAATTTTTGCCAATTGGACAGAACTGATTTACCTAATGGAATTAATTCTTGAGTGCCAAATTTCTAAGATAGTACCAAATTTCTAGGATAGGACAGTACCAGACTGTGATAAAAAATCATAATATGTATTATTAACTCATGTATTAACTCATATTAACTCATATTTTACAAACAGCAAAACCATAGGAGTACTCCTGAGATGAAAAGACAGAGAGCTGTGTATCATCTAGCTACTAGACTTGTTCAAACTGCTCGAAATTCTCAGTTGGATCCAGACAGGTTGCGAGTCTATTTAAGTAATCTCAAGAAGAAGTATGAAGAAGATTTTTCCCAGGATGAACAAGTTCAAGAACAGACTGAAGAATAACATACTCAAATAATGAAGTAGTATATTTAATATGAAAAACCTAGAATTAATGTATCTCCTGAGAGCAAATACACTTGTTCATTTTGTAATAAAAATAATATGAACTAGAGTTTTCACCTATTTGTTCTACATGAAAAGTAATTGTTATAACTTGCCAAATAACAACTGTTTTTAAAGGATTCTTATGATATAAAAACTATAATACAACACTTTAACAATTATTTATGATACTTTCCATTGTATTGAGTTTATATTTTCAAATTATTTATACTTTCAAAATATTGTCATAAATATTTTAGTTTAAAAGTCTTATTAAGTGTAGAAACATGATCTTTGGTTTACATTTTTCTTTGAAGTAGTAATTTGAAGATGATGATGATGATAACTCATTTTCTTAACTAATATCCCTATATTCCAATCCTAAATGATTCTCAAGTTCATTAAATGATACTGAGAATTTTTACATTATTCTTTTTGATACTGTATAGTTTTAAAACATGAAAATAAACAAATCGTTGTTTGGTAATACAGGCAGTAATTCTGGAAGGGGCAGTCCCACTACTGACCCATTATGTTTTCTGAATATCCAATAGTGCAGTTTGCTTAACTTTCAGTTCTTTTTTTCCATCTTTATTAGACAAAAAACAGCAGAAATGTAATGTTGGTATGTGTATATGCATCATTTGATTCATATGGGACATTTTACAGAGCTGTTTTTTAATAACCATGTGAATTATCCTCCCATTGAGTTATAAGTTAGACCCTGTAGTTACAGAGAAAAATCTATTGAATAGGTATTTAAAAAGAGTATTTGCCTTTGAATTCTAATTTCATGAGGTAAATTCACAATGTTAACACTTTTAACGTAACATTTTCATTTTGAAGTTATAAAGGATAAAAACAGATTATTTTCTTTTTGTATCATAATGCATATAATTTATTCCACACTGCAGAAGATAATGGGTTGAACCACCTATAGACTTAAAAATGATTGAGATTTAGGACATGATATGAAAAGACATTTTCTAATGGAATATTTAATACAACAAGAACTTACATGAGATTAATAGTTTATTAACTTCAAAGTCATACAATGGAAAGCATCTTTAAAGAACTTAGAATAAAGATGCATATTAGTTTTCTAAATTCAGGTAGTTCTGTAGACGAACAGGAATTAGAAGTGAAAATATTCCATTTGGGAGCATATTGTTGTTTAATAGTTGAGTCCTGATGGTTATTCTGCAAAGATGTAGTAGTTCACATGGATCTTTGTATCTTGTTGAAGGGATATACTCCAACCAATTTGAAATAATTGGACGTCTTCCTAAACTCAGTTGTGTCTGAAAAAAATTACTTTTGTCATGTTAATCATTGGATTAATTCAGATTATTAACATCTTAAATTTAAATTCAGAAAACAGGACTTAAATGTATAAACCCCTTGTAATTTTTTCCAAAGTGTTTCCACTTGAGACAAATGTTTTATTTCCATTTTATTCTCATAATGATAAAAGTTTTTGTAATACATATATGGAAACAGCAAAATTATATCTATGACTAGGAAAGTTTTTAATGTTAGATGGATTACACTTATATTTTATCAGCTTCTCTTTTCAGAAGAGTTTTCAAAATTGTCACACAATAGAATTATCTGGGAGACTATATAAATTATCAGTGCTCAGGTTCTAGTCCAGAAAGTTTGATTCTGTTGGTTTGGGGTTGGACATAGACTGTGTAAATTCTGAAAGTTCCCTAGATGGTTCCCCTGAGTGTAGAGTGAAAGTTAACACACAAAACCTGAGTAAAGTCCTCCCCAAGTATAAAGTTCTATCTTCAGGATTTTGAGAAGGTATATATTTAAGGATTTAGTTTCAGAGGTCAAATGTCAATAGATGGACTTAGATAGAAAGGATATTTCCTTATTACAGAGATAGTTTCCCATTAGAACCTTATACTTCCCAGATTCTTTGACACTTTTATTGATTTGCTCATATTTGTCTATATTCATTAATTTTTCAGTCAACTGTGATATATCCTCAGTATTATGGTAGGTGCTTGGAATAATTACTTAAAAGACCTGGGACTTAGATATAGAAATATCTAAATATGTATTTACAATAAAACATATGTGCTATGGTACAGAAATATGGAAATGCAAAGTGGAGAACAAAGTGTTATTCAATCAATGTTAATGTAATCTTTTCACTCAAGCAGGTGATTTGGGTCAATTCCAATGTAGTACTTTTCTACTATAATTCTGCCTTGGGAATAACACTCATGGAATCTGTTGAAAATTGGTATGTTCTTTAATAATTAAGCAGTCAGGACTAACATGGGCAACAACAAGCAACTGACTGAACATGCAAAACAGTTTGTTTTATACATAGGTTAATAAAATAAGTTTGCCAATTTATTTTTCTTACAATTTGCCCAAGTATTAAAATTGAGACATTTAAAAAGCAGCAGAGTTATAAATCCCATTAGTGTATTTCGAAAGTTACTCTTTAGTGGGACTATTGTTTTGTTGGTAATTTAACTGGTTGAAATTTACAGGAGTAGACAGGCACCAGTGGCATATGCCTGTAAACCTTCCTACTCAGGAGGCTGAGATCTGAGGATCACAGTTTTAAGCCAGCCTGGGCAAAAAAGTCTGTGAGACTCTTCTCACAAATTAACCACCAAAAAGATCTGTGTTTCAATTGGTAGAATGCTAGCCCTGAGCAAAAATAGTTTAGGCCATGCCGGGCACTGGTGGCTCACACCTGTAATCCTAGCTACTCAGGAGGCTGAGATCTGAGGATCGTGGTTTAAAGCCAGCCCGGGCAGGAGAGACCGTGAGACTCCTATCTCCAATAAACCACCAGAAAACTGGAAGTGGCGCTGTAGCTCAAGTGGTA